CCCCCAGTGTTAACAAATTGGTGGGGGAAACACATGGAGCTTCTTGGGAACATGGATATTAAAATGTAGAGGATGGAAAGCAGGGGCAGTAACTTCACAGGGGAGAAACCTGACAAACACTATCTCAGCCGGGTGATGAAGGTTAACATCAACAGTGATAGTCACAGGGATAGTACGTACCCTTGATACAGTGTAAAGGGAATGGCATTCTCTCTGTGGTCTTCCTCCTGATAACCCATAACCCCAGTCTTATTGTGACAAAAATACCAGACAAATCCCAAGTGGGGAGCTTTCTACAAAGTACCTAATCTCAAAGTATTCCTCAAGATTGCTGAAATCCCTGAAAATGAGGGGAGTCTACAAAACTGTCACAGCTTACAGAAGCCTAAGGAGACCAGACGACTAAATGTAAAGCGGTATCCTAGATGAATCCTGGAACAGAAAGAGGACTTTAGATAAAAACTAAAAAAAAAAAATCTGAATAAAATATAGACTCTGGTTAATAATAATGTACCAGTATTGGCTCACCAGTTGTGACAAATGTACCATACTAGTGTAAGATGTTAATTAAAGAAACTGAATGTAGGGTATACAGGAATTCCCTACAGCATCTTCCAACTTTTCTATAAATCTTATTCTAAAATGAAACATTTTTTTAAAGGTAGAGGAAGAGAAGCAGCCTTGGAAAGCAACAGCAACCAAGGGCTCTATATGGAAACTTTGCAGAGGCACCTGAGAAGTGAATCCACTGTTGGTAATATCATTCCTATAAGTGTATTTTCCTGAATTTCAAACAACCAAATTATGAACTAGTCTTGGAATACAATCTATAAATTAGGCCATGGGTATCTGAGAATAAGGCAGGTAGTACCTGGCCTCTAGAATGTTCTGACTGCCTTTTGTCACCAGGGATGTCTTAAATTCAAACATTCTAAACAGAAATATAACAAATCTTGTTTTTGGTTGGAAAATATTTTCTGTCATAAGCTCCTTCAAGCCAGGTTAATTCATTGACCAATTATCCATCATGACAATTAAATCATTTTCCACATCTCCCATGTTCATGTTTATCTCACTGAAACGATCTTCACTGGGAATATTTTCCACTTAAATATTTTACTTACAATTTTATCTATCAATCTATGTTTTGTACACATTAAATATTCCCAAGTGGGAAGCTTTCTACAAAGTACCTAATCTCAAAGTATTCCTCAAGACTGCCGAAATCCTTGAAAATGAGGTGAGTCTACAAAACTACAGCTACTTCCATTGTAAATTTATTTTCATAGCCATTATTTCTAGCAAGCCAGTTTTCACTAAGATTTTATTATTCCATTCTTTTAAAAGTTAAATTTGCAATGTTCCATCTAATTATTATCCATGTTATATTAAAACTAAATTTTGTTATCATTGTCAATCATGTCTACATAATCATTATGACTCAGACAAGAGGCTAATAGCTTGTATTTATTTCTTAGGTAATCCATGAGAAAATGGTGAGTTTTGTGAGACAGAGATACATACTGATACAGAAATAGTGGCAGTGTCAGCAAGCAACAGAGAGATAGGGAGGTCTGATTGCTTACAGACCAGGTCAAACTTCCCTGGAGCCAAAAGCACCTTACAAATGTCCTCAGGGGGGATCCCTGGGTGGCGCAGCGGTTTGGCGCCTGCCTTTGGCCCAGGGCACGATCCTGGAGACCCGGGATCGAATCCCACATCGGGCTCCCGGTGCATGGAGCCTGCTTCTCCCTCTGCCTGTGTCTCTGCCTCTCTCTCTCTCTCTATCATAAATAAATAAAAAATAAAAAATAAAAAAAAATAAAACATTTCTTTAAAAAAAAAAAAAACAAATGTCCTCAGGGTTATCCAGAATGGTCCACATGGCTGAGTCCAAATGTCCTGCAGCAGTGTATATATGTGTTTGGTGCATAGGTTAGGAAGAAGACAAATAAAGGTGGGAAAGTACTGAAAGGAGAATCGATAGATTGTAACGATGAAAAGCATGGGCTCTGGTGTCAGACTGTTAAGGTTCAAATCCCAGCGCCACCACTTAACTCAATGTGTAACCTGGGAAAGTTACTTCTCTATGCCTCAATTTCTCCACCTGTTAAATAAGGAAAATATTGAGGTCGCAGGGTTGAGGATTAAATGAGACAACACATGTTAAACACTGAGTACAGAGCTTGACACAAATGTCACTGTATGTGTGTGCAAACACGTGATTGTGAAATTGTCTTACATACTACTTAGACGCCTTGATAAATGAATAGTATGCATGTACTCTTCCATTTCATAAACTGCAAACCTTGGGAGTTATCCCTAAAGCCGATCTTTTTAATCCCATTGTTCATATGCAGTACATTTTTCTTTCTTACATTTGTAATGCTACCCAAAATTGATCGTCATATAGCAAATAATCACCATATGCACAAAAGTATAAATATATTGTTAAAATCAAGAGAAATACATTATGTATTAACAGAAAAACACTGCATAATGGAAAAGTGCAGGTTTTTTTTTTTTTTTATGACAGTCACACACAGAGAGAGAGAGAGAGGCAGAGACACAGGCAGAGACACAGGCAGAGGGAGAAGCAGGCTCCATGCACCAGGAGCCCGACGTGGGATTCGATCCCGGGTCTCCAGGATCGCGCCCTGGGCCAAAGGCAGGCGCCAAACCGCTGCGCCACCCAGGGATCCCAAAAGTGCAGGTTTTTGAATTTAAGAGATGCAGGATCAAATCCCATTGGTCAACTAAGGACTTGTCAAAGTTAGCCAACCTCTCTGTAGCTGTTTTCTGATTGTGGAAACAGGAATAAGACATAGACCTCACAAAACTGTGATGAGGATTAAGAAAACCATAATAAGATGTTCAGGACATGGAATGTACCCCATAAACGCCACACATGTGCATATGCATGTGCGCGCGCACACGTGCACAGACACACACTCCTTACCTACTGCCATTTCTGTCCAAAGGTCCCAAGATTTTGTCAGGTGGTCTCTGCCACCACTTCCATATTTTATGTCCTGTGTTTCCAATGACTTATTGTGGCAGTTTTCAATCCAGAATACCAGATCCTTGGGTGTACCCAAACACTTTCTGCCATGGATAATTTCAAGAAAATCAATTTCCAGATCTTCAACATTCACATGTATTCTTTCCTGACACGGGCCTGAGAAAACACCTGTGTTCTGAAATGATTTTCCTTTCCTATCTCCTTTTTCACAACCATTCTTTGAAAGGAAGGCTCATCTGTTTACAAAAGGCATACACTTACCCAACTCTATGCTTACCCTATACCTCACCCCAAAGTCTAAAAACCTCTAGAAGGGATCCCTGGGTGGCGCAGCGGTTTGACGCCTGCCTTTGGCCCAGGGCGCGATCCTGGAGACCTGGGATCGAATCCCACGTCGGGCTCCTGGTGCATGGAGCCTGCTTCTCCCTCTGCCTGTGTCTCTGCCTCTCTCTCTCTCACTGTGTGCCTATCATAAATAAATAAAAATTAAAAAATAAAAGTAAAAAAAATAAAAACCTCTAGAGTACCAAAAGAGAGCACACTTCCTTTAATCAAGGTCCCATAAACACCCCACTTTTCTCAAGAAATAAATCGCCAATACAAATTTTCCTTTTAAGTTGAATAATGTTTATCATGTCTTTAAACGTATTTTTATTATTTTCATGAACTGTGTTCCAATAATGACAGTGGCAACTCAAACCAGAAGGGAGAAAAAAATAGAGCTTTACAGTCAAAGAGAATTTTTCAAAATCTATCTAAATGTATATGTGTGTATGTGTCCACATATATACTATCCATATGGACTGCAAAAACAGCTTGATAGGGTGATCAATAAGAAATTCTCACACATAACAATGGGATAAAATTCTGTGGCGGAAGTAGAATGGAAATCAGACTCAAAAAATCTAATTCCTTGGGGATTCCTGGGTGGCTCAGCAGTTCGGTGCCTGCTTTTGGCCCAGGGCGTGATCCTGGAGTCCCAGAATCGAGTCCCACGTCCGGCTCCTGGTGCATGGAGCCTGCTTCTCCCTCTGCCTGTGTCTCTGCCTCTTTCTCTCTCTCTCTCTCTCTCTCTCTATGTCTATCATGACTAAATAGATAAAATCTTAAAAAAAAAAACTGAACTCCAATAAAAAAATATACAAAAAAAAGAAATCAAACCCAAAGAGAAAAAGGCATGATGCAAAATCTCCCAACGTTAAAAAGCTTTAATTTAAATAATAGTGAATATTAAATCACTAGCATATTTATATCCCACTGCATAAAACTTCAGAGGGATTTAACATTTTCATTTAGAAATAACAACAGTAAAAATAAGCCAGACATGACATACTTTGCAACTTAAAGTTACCATGAAACAAAAATTAGATAACTTAGGTCTTTTTTTAAAATTTATTTTTATTTATTTATGATAGACATAGAGAGAGAGAGAGAGAGAGAGAGGCAGAGACACAGGCAGAGGGAGAAGCAGGCTCCACGCAGGGAGCCCGACGTGGGACTCGATCTCGGGTCTCCAGGATCACGCCCTGGGCCAAAGGCAGGCGCCACCCAGGGATCCCCCAACTTAGGTCTTTTAAGAACTACATGGGGCCGTAAAAAAGAACTGTCCCCTCCGGGAGGGCGACCCTCAGACATCACCCAGATGTCCTTTCTGAAACTCAAGTCGGGCGCAGGACTTCCAGGGCCACGAAACGGGGACCCCTAGGGCGAAGGCCTCGCTTCCTCCGCCCGCAGCGTCCCCGTCCCGGCCCCGCCCCTCCCGCTGCGGTCGCCGCTCCCTCCCCTCCCCCCCGAGCTCCCGCGCAGGCGCGCTGCGCTCCCTTCCCACCCGCGGCTGCTGTGTCACGGCCGAGCGGAAGTCCGGGCCGCGGCGGTGCGGGCTGGGGGCGGGGGTCGCGGGGCGGGGGTCGCTCCTGGACGCTGTGCCCCCGCCCCCCTCACGCGTCCCGGGTCGCCCGCTGCGGGGCCGGGCGCCTACCCTGCACTCTGCCGAACACCTCGTAGTCCACGGACTTGAGCGGCCTGGCGGCAGACATGGCGGCGGCTAGTCCTGTGCGGAGGAGCCGGAGCGGGGCTCGGCACGCGGCGGCGGCGGCGGCGGCCGGGGGAGGGCGGGCGCGCATGGGGCCTCTCGGCGTGGCCCGCGCGTGTCACCGGCCCGGGACGCGAGCGCGCCGGGGTCACGTCGGAGGCGGCGGGGGAGACGCGGGCGCTGGCAGCCCCCCCCCCCCCGCGGCGGGGCCGACCGGCTGGCTCCGGAGGGCGCGGGCTGCGCGCTCCCCCCTGCGGTGGGCCCCGCGGCGCAGCCCTCGGCGCAGCCCAACCGAGCCGGCGGCGGCGCCCCCTCAGCGGCGGGACTGTGGTGAGAGGAAAGCCCCGCGGGCTGCGGCGTGGGCGTCCTGGGCCAGCGAGCGGATTCTCACTCAGCGTTTCGGCGACTGCCAAGTCTGTTGGGCGGTTTTAAGCCAATTCTCAGCTGCGTCCTCTCCGCCTTTTCTACGGGGTCAGAAAGGTTTGGGGCCTGAATCCGTCTCCCAGGCGGATTGTGCTATTTTCTGGGACGAAGCTTTAAAAGTCTACCCTGTTCTGTGCTAGTGGAAACGGCGAGGAAAGGAAGTCTTGTCTGCTGTTCACTCCCATAGCTCTTTTCTTTTTTTTTTTTTCAAGTGGTCTTGATTATTGTTCGACAATATCCCAGTTGCCTACAAGGTTCAGGCACTTGGTGAGCTGTCAGGAAGTCTTCGTTTAAAGCAACCCATCAAAAATAAAATAAAATAAAATAAATAAAATAAATAAAATAAAATAAATAAAATAAAATAAATAAATAAAAATAAATAAAATAAAAAAATAAATAAATAAAAATAAATAAATAAATAAATAAATAAAAAAATAAAATAAAATAATAAAATAAATAAAATAATAAAATAAAATAAAATAAAATAAAATAAAATAAAATAAAATAAAAAAGCAACCCATCACATCGCCTCTCGGCCTTTTGGCCAAGATCAAGTGGAAAGCCGCCCGTCACTCCAAGGAATCTGGAGACAAATCGTGATAATCTGCTGCCTTCCAGAATTCCAAGTCTTTTTGCTCGTGAGGATTTGCATTTCTCAACCTATTTGGTGGCTTCAATACCTTTGCGTATTTCTCTGCATCTGGCCACAGAGTTAAAATAATCCCCCCTGGGGATCCCTGGGTGGCGCAGCGGTTCCGCGCCTGCCTTTGGCCCAGGGCGCGGTCATGGAGACCCGGGATCGAGTCCCACGTCGGGCTCCCGGTGCATGGAGCCTGCTTCTCCCTCTGCCTGTGTCTCTGCCTCTCTCTCTCTCTCTCTCTCTGTGTGACTGTCATAAATAAATAAAAAATTAAAAAAAATAAAATAAAATAATCCCCTGCAATCTGATTCAGTATTACGTGCCAGCTCTTTTGGGGAACACCAAAAGTCATCTAAGATTTGGATGAGAATTCGGTTAAAACATTTTAAAGTAAAATAGAATCTGGAAGTGCTAATCCAGGTAATTTCACGTCATGAAGATCCTGATTTATTGCGGAGACCTCACAATTTATGTCTTCTTCTTACCTCCCTTCCAGTTTATTCCCTGCAGACTCTGGAATACACGTAGATCTTAGCATCATTCTTTTCAGTGACATCTCTTCACAGTCTCCGCATTGCATTTTGAATAAAACTGAAGGTCTTCACCCTCCACTAACCTCTTATTACCTGCTTATCCCCATCTATAGGTTATTCTATAGTTTATAGGTAACCTATAGTCAAGGCACTTTGAATTATTCAGCTCTCTGAACATAAGCTGACCTTAAAAAAAAAAAAATTCTTTGGTCTTGGATATTTCCTCCTACTCCCAGATCTTCCTCTATCCTGTTTAGTTGCAAATACTTACCAGATTTCATCCTAATTATTTAGTGGCTTCCTGCTAGTACTGTGCCTCCCAAGAAGTAAAAGTCAAATTGGGTTGAGATCCTGCCACTATCTAATCACTGATAAGGTTGACGTTGACATTTTTCTCCACATTTACCCAAGAGTAACCCTGCCAATTATTATGTAGCTTTATTGTAATTTTAGAAATGCTATAGCAACAATTGACATTTGCTTAGCTAAAAAATTTTCTGTCTGCCAACTACAGAACATTAGCAAACAGACATTTTTATGGACTGTTTCGGCATGGATCGCCAATACTATGTGATTCTAAGACTTTAGAAATTTTTAGCAAATGTTGCTAATACTTTAATATTAAGTAATACAAACATCTACGCACAGAGAAATTTTTTTAAATAGGACAAAATCATCTATACCCTTAACATAATCTTCATCATTTGTGTATTCTTATACTTATGTTTTAATTAGTTAAAATCAGTATAGACTTAACCTTTATTCTTTCTTTTTCCATATTATAGTCTTTCCAATTAATATTTTATTAATTTCATGATATTCTGTTGAGTATAACCATAAGTTTACATATTCCCAGTTGTTACACACCGTTTTTTCTAATTTTTCATTACTATAAAAAATATTGTGAAGAAAAGAGTCATGCACATAGCTTCCTTCCCATATTTTTTAATTACTCAGGATAGAAGTTAGAATACCCAAACTGTATAAATGTGTATTATTCTTGATACATATTGCGAAGTGGTTTTTCAAAAGGCTGCACCAATTTCAATATACCACTGCCAACACTGAGGGTATGATTTTTTGGCTTCTCATGCAAACAAATCTAAGTAGGTGCTTCACATACAATACATGATTCAATTAGAAGAAAAGTTTTCATTGTGTGACCTGAGCAATAGCCTTTAAATAACTAGGCTTTGTGTTACTGCTGGGTGAAGTTAAAACCTAGCAAAATCATTCCATTTCTTGAACCCTTTGAGACCATTTGTGTGTGATGTAGGATGATGTTTTAGGTAATATACAGAAAAGGAAAATCCTGCCTGCATAATATGAGTAAAAAATTACCAAGCCCCAGAACCTGTGACCTAGGGAGATACAATATAGTCTCTGTACCCCCAACAGAGACTTTTGTGGAGATCCCACCTACATATCTCTAATTCATCATCACAAAGGATCGGTTGATGTTTATAGCAGCAATGTCCACAATAGCCAAACTGTGGAAGGAGCCTCGGTGTCCATCGAAAAGATGAATGGATAAAGAAGATGTGGTTTATGTATACAATGGAATATTACTCAGCCATTAGAAACGACAAATACCTACCATTTGCTTCAACGTGGATGGAACTGGAGGGTATTATGCTGAGTGAAGTAAGTCAATCGGAGAAGGACAAACATTATATGTTCTCATTCATTGGGGAATATAAATAATAATGAAAGGGAATAGAAGGGAAGGGAGAAGAAATGTGTGGGAAATATCAGAAAGGGAGACAGAACATAAAGACTCCTAACTCTGGGAAATGAACTAGGGGTGGTGGAAGGGGAGGAGGGCGGGGGGGGTGGGGGTGAATGGGTGACGGGCACTGAGGGGGGCACTTGACGGGATGAGCACTGGGTGTTATTCTATATGTTGGCAAATTAAACACCAATAAAAAATAAATTTATAAAAATAAAAAATAAAAGATTAAAAAAAAAGATCGGTTGAGAGTGATTCTTAGAGTGATTTCTCAGAAATCTGACATTAAGTTCTAGCTAATTTCAGGGACAACTTAAAATTACTTTATCCATCAACATATTTCTACCATTGAAATAGTTTTATAATCGTTATGTTTAAAGAGTAGGAGCCGTGGGTTGGGTGTTGGGGTAACTGGGTGTCGGGCACTAAGGAGGGCACTTGATGGGATGAGCACTGGGTGTTATACTATATGTTGGCAAATTGAATTTAAATTTTAAATTTTTAATTAAAATAATAAAAAAGAGCAGAAGTCAACAATACAAACTGTTAACTACCACAATTAAAGAGGCCTAAACAACTTGATGATTCCCTCATGGAAGAAATAGTTTATAGACAAAGAAATGGTTGGACAATTACTACTCAACTGGATTCAAGATCATTAGAGGCCAGACTATTAGTCAGATGAGAAAGTAGTTAGTTTCCCAGAAGAGGCTTTAATCTCATTACAATTTATCAGAAAATTGCTTAAGCATTTTATCAGGAAAGCATATTTCTTCTCAGAAGGAAATTCTGTGCCAGGTTTGAACCAATTTTTCTTTATCACAGTCCAATTTGATATTCAAAACTCAGAAGTACATTTGCCATTAAAATCACTTCCCTCTCCTAGCTTGGTGGTGCTTAGGCTAGAGAGGGGAGAAGGCATTTTTTTTTATTTTTAATTTTTATTTATCTATGAGAGACACAGAGAGACAGAGAGAGGCAGAGACACAGGCAGAGGGAGAAGCAGGCTCCATGCAGGGACCCCGACATGGGACTCGATCCCGGGACTCCAGGATCAGGCCCTGGGCTGAAGGCAGCGCTAAACCGCTGAGCCACCAAGACTGCCACTGGGGCTGCCTAAGAGGGCATGGTTGATACCTCCCTACCTCAGTTTCTCTCTGCCTAGATGAGAATTAGAAGGAACTCATACTTTTGGAATCCAGTTTGGGCTCTCCAGGATTGGTGATTCTATTCACAGCTGATTAGTTCTTTTGAAAGAATGTTTCTGGGGGAGACTCAGAGCTTTTCCTCACCAGAAATTCCTGACTTTTCCTCTCTTGATGGACAATACCTACACTTCAGCTGTGCATCCACACCCCTATCCCAACTTCTGTATCAAATGCTATACCTCCAACCCCTTTCTGCTGAGAGACTACCCCTCAGCAAGAAGGATGCATGAGTGGGATCCCTTTTACAATGAACACGGGACCAGATCCCTTGTTCTAGTAACATCTAATGGTGGGAACTCCTATCTCGGCCCTACCACTGAGAGAAGTTGCAGTGTGATCTGAATTTGCCTCTTTCTGTGGTCTTGGCAGGCAACATTCAGGAATCACCAGCCTTTCCTCTTTACTTTCTGCAGGTATGGGCCAAATACCAGTCCCTTCTACCTCCAACAAGTAAATGCCAAGCTCTCAGAAAAGGGGGTTCTTGTAAGACCCTCTCAGTAGACATGTGATTTCTCTATCCATAGTGGGAAAGGGGAGAACAGGGAAAGCCATTGCTCTCCAATCACTTTCCTGGAAGAAATCCTCTCAAGCCTGAGTGGAAGTTGGGCTAAAGATCTTAAAGCTGGTTTTAAAAACCTTTTTTAAATGGCATGATAGTGCAGTACCTCATCTTGAAATGAGGGTATAACTATTGTTTTTAGTCTCAGGTCTCAGCTAAATCTGAGACAAAAGTCTCATTTCTCAACTCAACAGAATTCAGTATATAAACCTGTTTGGATCTTGATTTGAAATTACAAGTTCAACAAGACATTTTTGAGACCAATGAGGAAATCTGAACACAAGTTGACTATTAAATATTATAGCATTATCATTGTTAATGTAACCATTACATTACATTGTTCCCCTCTCCCACGTGCATGCATGCTCTTTCTCTCTCTCTCAAATAAATAAATCTTATTTGAGAGAAAGAGAGCAAGCGCATGAGATGGGGAAGGGGCAGAGGCAGAGGGAGAAGCAGACTCCCCGCTGAGCAGGGAGCCTGATGTGGGACTTGATCCCCAGGATCCTGGGATCAGACTAAGTCCAAGGCTCATCTACTGAGCCACCCAAGTGCTCCTATAAAATTTAAAATTTAAAAGAGTCCATTTATATTCTATAAAACATCCGATCAATAATCCTCAAAACTGTCAAGGTCATGAAAAACAGTGAAAGCCTGAGAAAC